TTGATTTTAATCCTATCAATTTCTATTCCAAAGGTTAGGGCGTTTCTTATCTCCATTCAAGGGAGTAGAGATTATGTAGCTTAAGCATGATTGTTCATAGTTAAAGTGATTAACTACCCACCTGGCACTTAGTTAAGGGGTTTTATTCCCTCCCTAACTTTAGGGAAAAATCCCTACCTGGGGAAACAACCTTTCTTGGAGAGATGACCTTGGTTAAAACACATAGCGCCAAGAAGGGGAACAAACATATTAAGAACAGTCTGCCATATACACCAGGTCCCTTGGAACATATGCTGTGCAGACGTTTCTTCCCTGCAGCAACTGTGTCAAGCAGCAAGGATGGACCGGCTTCCAGCAACCCTTCAGTCCACAGGCTGACACCCTATCCATTGAGCCAAACCAGTTAGGGCTCAGATCATTTTTTTTTTTGATTAATTAAATCTTTATTGTTCAGATTATTACATTTGTTCCTCTTTTTTCTCCCCCATAACTCCCCTCCACCCCATTCCCACCCCACCCTCCTCCCTCACCCCCACCCACTGTCCTCATCCATAGGTGCACCACTATTGTCCAATCTCTTCCCACACCCCCCACATCCCTTTCCTCCCCCCAACCCCCCGAGAATAGTCAGTCCACTCCCTTTCTATGCCCCTGATTCTATTATAATAACCAGTTCATTCTGTTCATCAGATTATTTATTCACTTGATTTTCAGATTCACTTGTTGATAGATGTGTATTTGTTGTTCATAATTCGTATCTTTACCTTTTTCTTCTTCTTCCTCTTCTTAAAGGATACCTCTCAGCATTTCATATAATACTGGTTTGGTGGTGATGAACTCCTTTAGCTTTTTCTTATCTGTGAAGCTCTTTATCTGACCTTCAATTCTGAATGATAGCTTTGCTGGATAAAGTAATCTTGGTTGTAGGTTCTTGGCATTCATCACTTTGAATATTTCTTGCCACTCCCTTCTGGCCTGCAAAGTTTCTGTTGAGAAATCAGCTGACAGTCGTATAGGTAGTCCCTTGTAGGTAAATGACTGTCTTTCTCTTGCTGCTTTTAAGATTCTCTCTTTGTCTTTTGCTCTTGGCATTTTAATTATGATGTGTCTTGGTGTGGTCCTCTTTGGATTCCTTTTGTTTGGGGTTCTATGGGCTTCCTGGACTTGGAAGTGTATTTCTTTCACCAGGTAGGGGAAGTTTTCTGTCATTATTTCTTCAAATAGGTTTTCAATATCTTGCTCTCTCTCTTCTTCTGGCACCCCCATAATTCGGATGTTGGTACGCTTGAAGTTGTCCCAGAGGCTCCTTACACTATCTTCATATTTTTGGATTCTTTTTTCATTTTGCTTTTCCGGATGGGTATTTTTTGCTTCTTCGTATTTCAAATCGTTGACTTGATTCTTGCGATCTTCTAGTCTGCTGTTGGAATTCTGTATAATATTCTTTATTTCAGTCAGTGTATGCTTAATTTCTATTTGGTCCTTTACCACAACCTCAAGGGTCTCATTAGATTTCTTGTAGGTCTCATTAAGTTTATCAGCAGTTTCTAGAAAATTCTTGAAAAACCTTAAAAGTGTGGTTTTGAACTCTATATCCAGTAGTTTGCTTTCCTCCATTTCTGTCATTTGTGTCCTTTTTCTTTGTCTTCACATTTTTTATGCTTCCCGGTGTTGATAAAGTGGTTTTCTGTGCTAAGTGTCCTCTAGGGCCCTGTGGTTCAGCCTCCCCAATTACCTGTGGAGGACACTCTTGGTGACCCCCTTGTGATCTTTGTGCACAGTCTTGTTGTAGTTAAGTCTTGATTGTTGTAGGTATCACTGGGAGGAATTGACCTCCAGGCCAATTGGCTGTGAGAATCAGCTGTGTCTGCAGTGGGAGAACTTCTGTGCTGGAGACACTTCTCTGGGGCAAGACTTGCTTCTATGGGGCTTTGGTGCTCACTGGGTCTGCCCCCTGAGTGTGTCCTTTATGGTTCCACGGAGCTGCAAACTGGATGGTCTCACTCTGACCTCTGGATACATTGGCTCCTGGATCTCTAGGGAGGTGCTAATCTAGCCTCTGCCTTAGGCTATCCAGCAAAAGCTTCTCTGCAGGGCTTGGGTGGGGCGGGTCCCACAGGATCAACAGGGCGGGGCTAGCAGTTATGGCTGCTCTCAGAGGCTGTGCTTCTCAGTGTCTCAGTAATTACCTTAAGCCCCTCCGAGAGAAAGCTGCCCTCGAGTTCTGACCGATGCCAGACAGTCTTGCTTCTCCCGTATGAGTCTGGGTCCCCAGAGACTTGCACAGAACTGGAGCTCAGAGCCTGAGATTCCCTCCCGATCAAAAACGACAACAGTGCCCTCAGCCGCCAGCCCGATCCGCATGTGCCTCTGTACCTTAGTATTTTATTTCTGCACTGCGCCTCCTCTGAGTCTTAGTATGCTTTTCTCTTTCCTTCTAGTTGTAGAATTTCCACTCAGCCAGCCTTCCTGTGGTTCTGGATGATGGCCGTTCCATCTTTCAGTTGTATTTTTGAAGTGGTTGTTCGAGGTAGCAAACTCCAGTGTTTACCTATGCTGCCATCTTGGTTTCTCCAGCCAAAAACTGAAGGGAATGCAAATGTCTACAACAAATTAATGGATAGATATACAATGACATATTCATTATTTTTTTTAAATATATTTTTTATTAATTTCAGAGAGGAAGGGAGAGAGAGATAGAAACATCAATGATGAGAGAATCATCCATCAGCTGCCTCCGGCATGCCCCCCACCAGGGATTGAGCCAGCAACCTGGGCATGTGCCCTGACCAGGAATCCAACTGTAACCTCCTGTTCATAGGTCGATGTTCAACCACTGAGCCATGCCAGCCGGTCCTCATTAATTTTTTTAAAAAAGTATGAACTACTTATACACAAGCAATCTAGATGAATCTCAAAATAATTATGCTAAGTGAAAGGCCCAGACGAGAGTAAATACTGTTTGGTCCTATTATATAAAACTCTAGAAAATACAATCTAATCAATGGTGTCAGACAGCAGATCAGCATTTGCCTGGGCTAGCATAGAGTGTGGGTGTCAGGCTGGCAGGAGGGACCAAGAAGCAAGAGGAAACTTTGGTGGGAGGGCCAATGATGGATAAGTTCACTATCTTGATTGTGGTGATGGTTTCATAGTTACATATATATATATATATATATATATATATATATATATATATATATATATTTATCAAATTAGCCTGGCCAGCACAACCTATGAACCGGGGGGGGGGGGGGGGGGTGTCACAGTCGATTCCCAGTCTGGGCATATGCCCAGATTGTGTGTTCGATCCCATGTGAGGCGAGCAGGAGGCAGCCGATCAATGATTCTCTCTCATCATTGATGTTTCTATGTTTTTTCCTCTCTCTTCCTCTCTGTAATCAAATATATATATTTTAAACAACTTAGCAAATTGTACTCTTTAAAATGTGAAGTTTATTGTATGTCCGTTATATTCTAAAAACAGTTGAACTTTACACTCCACTAGAAACAAAATTTTAGATTCCTTTTCATTATCATCTAAAAACTGTTTTACAGAGCTGTCCCTTTGTCTCAAAATAAATATCCTTTAAGAAATTTTGCTCTTATTTCTTTAATCTGAGGTCTTATAAGGGTTATTACTTTTGATCTGGAAAAACCATTAAAGAAATTAAAAATATGCCAGGAAGTCTATAATGGAAAACAGACAAGGAGGAATTCTGTGTTGCTTCAGTAAAGCATCATGAGTTGTGTGAAGCTCAGAGTGGAACGCCACCCTCTAGGGGTGAGGAGATGCAATGCAAATGCACAGAATAGAAAAGGCCTTATGCTAATTGGTGATAAATATTTTCCACATCTAGATATATCCTTTCAAAAATCTTTTAAATTCTCTTCACCTTGGTTTTATGTGTTAAATTGAGGTAATGACATCTGTACTCCTTATCTGAAATAAGGCAAGCAGTCAGATGAGTAGTAACACTGATTTGAAATCATCCAGTTGCTTCATTTACATAAGAAAGAAAAACAAGTTAATTGCTACTACTGCAGCATATTTGCTTTGCCTTTGCTTCCTTAAGTATTTCACTACAGACGTGTAAGTATATTTAAAACATTAGAAGATTGATGGCCATTCTTTTTTTTTATGGCCATTCTTAATGTTATTACTTAATGGAAGCATTTCTGTCATTTTTCTTCTGTAATAGCTTTGAAAATTAAGGTAACTGCTAAGGGAATTTGTGAACACCCTTTCCTATCATTAATCTTAGATGTCAGTTTTAGAATACAGTTTTTAATTTTTAACATTTTTTCTGCAAATAAAAAGTGGATCATAGGTCAGAATATGACATACATTTGAGCTCAAACTTTTTAAAAAATCAGCAGTCATTTTTTTTAAACAAGTGAGAATATTTATCAAACCTGAAAAGGCATCATCAATCACATCATCAGTGCTTTACTTTCTAGTAGTTACATCTGGAAAGAAGGTAGTAAAGATTTGGGGCTAATAAGTATTCACCAACAGGTGTTTACTTATTTGCAAAGCTGTTAAGTGGTGTTAAATTGGAGAAAAGCTGAAACATTTCTGCTTGTCTATTTTAAATGCATTCTAACTAGAATCTGGTTCATAGCATCTCTTTTTTTTAAACCTTATTAAATTAGGGTGACACTGGTTAATATAATTATATAGGTTTCAAGTGTACAATTCTATAATACATCATCTGTATATTGAATTGTGTGTTCACCACCCAAAATCAAGTCTCCTTCTGTTACTATATATTTGACTCCCTTTACCCTTTCCTACCTCCCCACCACTCTCCTCTCCTTCCGGTAACCACCAAACTATTGTCTGTGTTGGTTTATTGCCATGTCTTGATTCACCTATGGTACAACTCAGTTTGAGAGAATATTTGAATAAAGTATAGCTCACAGTTCCCATTTGTTCTTAGCATTCATGCTTTTATGGTTGTTTCCAGGTTAATATTTTTACTTATGTTTCTCCATAGATTGAAAAATTGGGAAATCTTCTAGAGTTTAAAGAAGACCACTGCACCAGACTCATTGAAGAAAATGACAAGTATCAAAGACATTTAGGCAACTTAATAAATAAGGTACAAATTATCTTACAGAAATTTGTCCTTTAAAAACTATGCCAAATATTAAAATAATAGAATGTTGGAGCTAGAAAGGGTCTGAGGGATACAACATAATTATATTTATTTCCTTTTACTTTGTAATGACATTATAAAACATCCCCATTAGCCTTTTAGCTGAAAGTTAGCAAAAGAACATTGTGTGTATCTATCCTTCTGCTGTCAGCAACTTCAGTTCTTAATATTGCTATTTCATTTTGAGGGCAAATTTTAAATCTTGCCAAATCAGTGTTCTAGTTTGACTTTTAGAAACTGCATTAACATATGGAAGTAATGTGCTCATCCATAGAAGAGTGGATAAAAAAGTGTTCATCAATAGAAGAGTGGATAAAAAAAAAAGGCTGTGGTACAAATGTAAAATGGAATATTACTCAGCAATTAAAAAAGAATAACATTGAGAAAACCAAGATGACGGCGGCATAGGTAAACACCTGAAATTTTTGCCTCGACAACCACTTCAAAGATACAAATAAAAGACAAAATTGACATCATCCAGAACCACGGGAAGGCTGGCTGAGTGGAAATTCTACAACTAGAAGGAAAGAGAAAAGCACACTGAGACTCAAAGGAGGTGCGGAAGTAAAGTGCAGAGGTACAGAGGCGCACGTGGAAAGGGCTGGCAACTGAGGACACGGTTGTCTTTTTCAATCGGGAGGGAGTCTCAAGTTCCCGACTGCTCTGAACTCCAGTTCTGGGCTAGTCTCTGGGGACCCAGACTCATACAGGGAGAAACTGGACTGTCTGGCATCGGTCAGAACTCGAGGGCAGCTTTCTCTCAGAGGTACTTGCAGCGATTACCGGAACACTGAGACGCGGGGCCTCTTAGGGCAGGGCTGAGGATAAGCCATAGCTGTTTGCTCCACCCTGTTGATTCCCTGAGACCCTGTCCCACCCAAGCTGTGCACAGAGGCTTTTACATATGAAAGGCCTGGCCCTTTGCAATCTGAAAATTACCTAACAAACTGCAGCTGGGTCAGAGAGACCCAGAACTTCCAAAATAAGGTCCAAGGCCCCACAGCAGCTTGCATTGCTTCACAGCTGGGCCTCATCTGGGCACTTCCAAACCCCAAACAAAGAAGAGGAATCTGCAGATCTCTCCATAGCTCCTGCTGGGTAGCCTCAGGCAGAGGCTAAATTAGTACCTCCTTAGAGATCCAAGAGCCAGTGTACCCAGTGGTCAGAGTGGGACCATCCAGATTACAACTCCTCAGATCCATAAGGGACACACTCAGGGAGCAGATTCAGTGAGCACCAAAGCCACACTGAAGCAAGTCTTGCCCCAGAAGGGTGTCTCCAGCACAGAAGATCTCCCACCATAACCACAGCTGATTCTCACAGCCAATTGGCCTGGAGGTCAATTCCTCCCAGTGATACCTACAAAAATCAAGGCTTAACTACAACAAGACTGTGCACAGCCCACAAAGGGGTGCAGCAAGAGTGTCCACCTCAAGTAATTGGGGAGGCTGAGCCACTGGGCCCTATAGGACACCTAGCACAGAAAGCCACTCTATCAACACAGGGAAGCATAAAAAATGTGGTGACAAAGAAACAGGTCACAAATGACAGAAATGGAGGAAAGCAAACTACTGGATATAGAGTTCAAAACCACGCTTTTAAGGTTTTTTAAGAATTTTCTAGAAACCGCCAATAAATTTAGTGAGACCCTCAAGAAATCTAGTGAGACCTTCGAGGATATGAAAAAGGGCCAACTAAAAATTAAGCATACACTGACTGAAATAAAGAATATTATACAAAGTTCCAACAGCAGACTAGAAGATCTCAAGAATCAAGTCAACGATTTGAAATACGAAGAAGCAAAAAACACCCAACTGGAAAAACAAAAAGAAAAAAGAACCCAAAAATATGCAGATAGTGTAAGGAGCCTCTGGGACAGCTTCAAGTGTACCAACATCCGAATTATGGGGGTGCCAGAAGAAGAAAGAGAGCAAAATATTGAAAACCTATTTGAAGAAATAATGACAGAAAACTTCCCCTACCTGGTGAAAGAAATACACTTCCAAGTCCAGGAAGCCCATAGAACCCCAAACAAAAGGAATCCAAAGAGGACCACACCAAGACACATCATAATTAAAATGCCAAGAGCAAAAGACAAAGAGAGAATCTTAAAAGCAGCAAGAGAAAGAAAGTCAGTTACTTACAAGGGACTACCCATACGACTGTCAGCTTATTTCTCAACAGAAACTTTGCAAGCCAGAAGGGAGTGGCAAGAAATATTCAAAGTGATGAATGCCAAGAACCTACAACCAAGATTACTTTATCCAGCAAAGCTATCATTCAGAATTGAAGGTCAGATAAAGAGCTTCACAGATAAGAAAAAGCTAAAGGAGTTCATCACCACCAAACCAGTATTATATGAAATGCTGAGAGGTATCCTTTAAGAAGAGGAAGAAGAAGAAAAAGGTAAAGATACAAATTATGAACAACAAATACACATCTATCAACAAGTGAATCTAAAAATCAAGTGAATAAATAATCTGATGAACAGAATAAACTGGTGAATATAATAGAATCAGGGGCATAGAAAGGGGGTGGACTGACTATTCTCGGGGTGGGGGAAGAAGTGGGGGGGGGGTGCGGGAAGAGACTGGACTAAAATCGTACACCTATGGATGAGGACAGTGGGGGGCGGAGGTAAGGGCAGAGGGTCGGGTGGGAACCAGGTGGAGGGGAGCTATGGGGGGAATAAAAGAGGAACAGCTGTAATAATCTGAACAATAAAGATTTAATTAAAAAAAAGAATAACATTTTACCATTTGCAACAGCATGGATAAATCTAGAGGGCATTATTATAAGTGAAATAAGTTAGCCAGAGAAAGACAGACACCATATGATTTTACTTATATGTGGAATCTAAAGAACAATATAAATGAAAACCCAAAACAGAAACAGACTTATAGGTACAAAGAACATAATGATAGTTGCCAGAGGGGGATGTGTATTGGGAAACTGGGTAGAAAATATGAAGGAATTGAGAAATACAGGTTGGCAGTTACAGAATACTCATGGGAATGTAAAGGTTAACATAGGGTATATAGTCAATAATATTGTAATAATTATGTATGGTCAGTAGGGCACTGGAAATACCAGAGGAACACTTTGTAAAATATATTATCTAACTACTATGCCTTCCAGCTGAAACTAATATAAAATAAAGTTGAATGTAAAAAAAGTGACTTTTTCTTTACACAATTCTATATTTTAAAAACTTTACAATATGATCCAGCAACTCTACTCTTAGGTATATGACCAAGATAAATGAAAACATATGTCCATACAAAAACTGTACACAAATGTTTATAGCAGCATCAATACTAATAATAGCCTCGGTGGTCATCACACCCTCATGCCGTGAGGCCCACACGCCATCACAAGGAGGCTGCGTGCGCAGTGGGCACACGTGGGCACACACAGGCGGGCAGAGCTGCATGCATGATGAGGCGCATGCGGCTGGGCGGGGACTTGACACTGTGTGCACAGCCCCCAGGCCTCAACATGTGGAGGGCCCAGTGACGATCCATGTGGCCAGGCCTGGGGATCCTGCATGTCCGTGTGGCATGGAAGCGGGACCCCCATTCCAGCCTACCTCTTTGGGGCAATCCAAGAGGGCCTACCTTTTTGGGGCAATTGATCATGGGGATCCCACACTGTGAGAGGGCACAAACCAGGCTGGGGGACACCACCCCGAGTGCACGAATTTCGTGCACTGGGTCTCTAGTTATTCATAATAGCCAAAAGTGGAAATAATTTAAATGTCCATCAACTGGTGAATGAATAAAATGTGGCATCTCCATATGGTGCAATATTATCCTATCTAATAAAATAGAAACATGCAAATTGACCATAACCCCGACACCCTTCCCATTGGCTAATCAGCAGGATATGCAAATTAACTGCCAACCAAGATGGCGGCCGGCAGCCACGCAGCTGAAGCGAACAGGAGGCTTGCTTGCTCCAGTGACGGAGGAAGCCAAGGTTCCCCGCCTGCCGCAGCCCAGCTCTGAGCTGCACTCTAAGCAACTATGTTGCAATTATAGAAGCCAAACAAACCTAGAAACCTGCTTTCAGCCAGCTTCGGCCTCAGAGCTTAGAGCTACTGTAGTGGCAACAGAGTTTCAATTATAGAAGCCAAACAGACCCAGAAACCTGCTTTTAGCCCTCAGAGCTGGAGCCGGCTCTCAGCTCCAGTGACAGCTATAGAAGGTAAATAAATCCCAGAATTAAAAAAAAGAAAAAAAGGAGAGGCTGGGAGCTTAAGTTGCCCTCCAGCCTGAAAATAGCTCTCAGGCCCTCACCCAGACTGGCCAGTCACCCCAGTGGGGACCCCCACCCTGAAGGGGGTGTGACCAGCTACAAACAGCCATCAGCCCGTCATCCAGGCTGGCCAGGCACCCAAGTGGGACCCCCACCCTGATCCGGGACACTTTCAGGGCAAACCAGCCAGCCCCCACCCGTGCACCAGGCCTCTATCCTATACTACAGGCAGGGCAGGACAGCGCGAGCTGCTATCTGGGTCCCATGTGCAGCCCTGGGCAGCGTGGCATAAGCCCCGCCCCCAGCCGGGACCCCTGTGTGCCACCTGAGCCCCCAGCCAGGACCCCTGTGCTGCCTAAACCCTGCACTGCTAAGCCCTGCCCCCAGCCGGGACCCTATGACTATTGGAGAGCAGGAAAGTGCCGCTGGGCCCTGGGTCGCTGTGGTGATCTGGCCATCGGTACCTAGAAAAGTGCGGCCTATAGGCAGCCCCCAGCTGCTCCTGATCCGGGAGCAGGAAAGCAAGCCCGGCCTGAGGGCAGCCCCAAACTTTGCCTGCTCCCCAGTTGCCATGGTGATCCGGGAGCAGGAAAGCAAACCTGGCCTGAGGACAGCCCCCAGCTGGGCCTGATCCGGGAGCAGGAAAGCAAGCCCGGCCTGTGGGCAGTCCCCAGCTGCGCATTCTCCCCAGTTGCCATGAGGATCCGGGAGCAGGAAAGCAAGCCTGGCCTGCGGGCAGCCCCAAGCTGGGCCTGATACGGGAGCAGGAAAACCCGGCCTACAGTCAGCCCCTAGCTGGGCCTGCTCCCCGGTCACCATGGTGACCCTGGAGCAGGCGAGCAAGCCCGGCCTGCAGGCAGCTCCAAGCTGGGCCTGCTCCCCAGTTGCCATGGAGACCTGGGAGTGGGAAAGCCCGGCTTGCAAGCAGCACCCCAATCCTGGCCATAGCTCAGGGAGAGTACAACATGCAGTGGAGGCCAGGAGCCTGAGAGATCAACACAGAGGGGCTCCTGCTCCAAGCCTCCATAGTGTGGCTAGGGGCAGGCCCCCAGCAGACACACACACACACATACACACACACACACACACACACACAGTGCCTGCTCTGAGCCTCCAATGTGGCTTTGGGCAGACCCCCAGTGGGGGACACACACACACACACACACACACACACACACACACGGCAACAGCTTTGAGCCTACGTGACACAGCTGGGGGCAGGCTCTAGCAGACAGACAGACACACACACACACACACACATATACACACACACGGGATTCCAGCTCCAAGCCTCTGCTGCCAGACTGTGGCCATCAGTAGGACATCCACTGAGGGCTCCTGGACTGTGAGAGGGGCAGGCTGGGCTGAGGGAACCCCATCCCCCAGTGCACGAATTTCGTGCACTGGGCCTCTAGTCTACACTAATAAAAGACAAAGATGCTAATTGATAGTACCTTTGCTACACCCTAAGCCATGCCCACCAGCCAATCAGAGCGACTATATGCAAATTAAGCCAACCAAGATGGTGGCCAGCAGTGGCCGGCAGCCATGGAGCTGGAGCAAGCAGGAGGCTTGGTTGCCCGGGCAATGGAGGAAGCCATGCTTCCCACCTGCCCTGAGCCAGCTGTGCCCTCTGCTCATGACAACAAAGTTTCAATTATAGAAGACAAATAAATCCTAGATACCTGCTTCCAGCCAGCCTCCACTAGGAGCTTGGGTGGCTGGGGGCTGTGGCCAGCCTGAAAACAGCCATCAGCCACTCACCCAGGCTGGCCACACCCTCATGGGGTGAGGGTCCCCGCTGGGGGGCTTGGCCAGCCTGCAAACGGCCATCAGCCCCTCACCCAGGCTGGCCAGGCACCCCAGCAGGACCCCCCGACCCTGAAGGGGGTGTGGCCAGCCTGAAAATGGCCCTCAGCCCCTCACCCGGGCTGGCCAGGCACCCCAGTGGGGACCCCCATACTGAAGGGGCTGTGGCCAGCCTGCAAGCAGCCATCAGCCCCTCACCCAGGCTGACCAGGCACTCCTATATAATAAAAGGGTAATATACAAATTGACCCTAAGAGTAGAATGACTGGGAATGACTGGTCACTATGACACACTGACCACCAGGGGGCAGATGCTCAATGCAGAAGCTGCCCCCTGGTGGTCAATGCGCTCCCACAGGGGGAGCTCTGCTCAGCCACAGCCAGGCTGACGGCTGCCAGTACAGCGGTGGTGGTGGTGGGAGCTTCTCCCGCCTCCTCAGCAGTGCTAAGGATGTCCTACTGAAGATTAGGCCTGCTCCCCACTGGCAAGTGGACATCCCCTGAGGGCTCCCGGGCTGCCAGAGGGATGTCTGACTGCCAGCTTAGGCCCAATCCCCCAGGGAGCAGGCCTAAGCCAGCAGGTGGTCATCCCCTGAGGGGTCCTTGACTGCAAGAGGGCACAGGCTGGGCTGAGGGACCCCCCGAGTGCACAAATTTTTGTGCACCGGGCCTGTAGTCCTATATAATAAAAGAGAAACATGAAATTAGCCATCCCTCCACAAGCCACGCCCACAAGCCAATCAGAGTGACTATGCAAATTAACCCAACAAAGATGGTGGCTAATTTGCATATGTAGGTGTCAGGCACCCCAAGAGGCAATGGCACTTATGGCCGCAAGCTCCCAGGACCTTTGCCAGCCCCGGAGGTGAGGCTGTAGCCACATCTGCGGGCTTCCAGGACCTTTTTCCGGTCTGGGAGGCAAGACTTCCCATGCCTAGCCATGCCCGCAGGCTCCTGGGACCTTGCCAGCAGAGAGCGGAAGGTTTGGAGTACTTGGAAGAGCAGGAGACTGCTGGACATAGAGCAGAGTGAGAGGGCAGCTTGGAGGGTGTGGCTCCCTCTGTCACCCCAGCTTCCTCATCACAGCTGTGGAAACTGACAGCAGGGAGGAGGAATTCCCATCCCCACAGAATCAGCCAGAATCAGCCTTTGGTTAGACAGTTCTCAGCGGCCTGATAGCCAGGACTCTCATTCACCTGCATCTCAGACCCTGACAGTAGAGAGGTGGGACTATGTCTAAAGAACAACTGTTGATACAATGTAGCTCTGCAGCGGAAAGATGCCGGCGTTATCGACAGAAAATGTCTGCAGAGCAGCATGCGTCTGATCTTGAAAGAAGGCAGCACCTGCGACAGGATGCATCTGACCACCAGCTACTGGAAAAACGTCACTCTGATGCCGAAAAACACCGGCATTATCGACAGAAAATGTCTAAAGATCAATGTGCCTTTGAAGGTGAAAGAAGGCGGTGGCGACGACAGAATATGTCTAGAGAACAGTCATCAACAAGTACTACCAATACCAGTAGGAACTGCTTTCTCAGCGAAAATGGAGTACATGAGGATGCAATTCTCAAACATAGTTGTGGTAGAATGACTGTTCGATGTGAATTTTGCCTATCACTAAATTTCTCTGATGAAAAACCATCTGATGGGAAATTTGCTTGATGTTGTAGCAAAGGGAAAGTCTGTCCAAATGATATACATTTTCCAGATTACCAGGCATATTTAAAAAGATTAATGACAAACGAAGATTCTGACAGTAAAAATTTCATGGAAAATATTCGTTCCATAAATAGTTCTTTTGCTTTTGCTTCCATGGGTGCAAATATTGCATTGCCATCAAGATATGAGCCATGCTGTTTTAGAATACACGGACAAGTTTATCACCGTACTGGAACTTTACATCCTTCAGATGGTGTTTCTCGGAAGTTTGCTCAACCCTATATTTTGGATACAGCCGAAGTTACAAGTAAAAGATTAGCAATGCCAGAAAACCAGGGCTGCTCAGAAAGACTCATGATCAACATCAACAACCTCATGCATGACATAAATGAATTAACAAAATCATGCAAAATGTTACATGAGGTAGAAAAGGAAGCCCAATCTGAAGCAGCAGCAAAAGGTATTGCTCCCACAGAAGTAACAATGGTGATTAAATACGATCGTAACAGTGACCCAGGTAGATATAATTCTCCCCGTGTAACCGAGATTGCTGTCATATTCAGAAACGAAGATGGAGAACCTCCTTTTGAAAGGCACTTGCTCATTCATTGTAAACCAGATCCCAATAATCCAAATGCCATTAAAATGAAACAAATCAATATCCTGTTTCCTACATTAGATGCAATGACATATCCTATTCTTTTCCCACATGGTGAAAAAGACTGGGGAACAGGTATTGCATTAAGACTCAGAGACAACAGTGTAATCAACAATAATACTAGACAAAATTTTAGGACACAAGTCACACAAATGCAGTATTATAGATTTCATCTCTCTGTGCGAGACACGTTCAATCCTATTTTAAATGCAGGAAAATTAACTCAACAGTTTATCATGGATTCATGTTCAAAAATGGAGGCCAATCAGATAAATTTCATCAAAGCAAACCAATCTAAGCTGAGAGTTGAAAAATATAGTGGTTTGATGGATTATCTCAAATCTAGATCTGAAAATGACAATGTTCCAATTGGTAAAATGATAATACTTCCATCATCTTCTGAGGGTAGTCCCAGAAATATGCAGCAGCGATATCAGGATTCTATGGCAATTGTAACAAAGTATGGCAAGCCCGATTTATTCATAACCATGACATGCAACCCCAAATGGGCAGATATTGGAAACAATTTACAACGCTGGCAAAAAGTTGAAAACAGACCTGACTTGGTAGCCAGAGTTTTTAATATTAAGCTGAATGATCTTTTAAATGACATCTGTAAGTTCCATTTATTTGGCAAAGTAATAACTAAAATTCATGTCATTGAATTTCAGAAACGCAGATTGCCTCACGCTCACATATTATTGATATTAGATAGTGAGTCCAAATTACGTTCCTCTAATTAATTCCCTTTCAATGTGCACGAATTTTGTGCACCAGGCTACTAGTTTGTCAATAAAAGGAAATGAAATACTGATATGTCCTACAACACAGATTATCTTTTGAAACACCATGCAAAGTGAAAGAAGCCAGCCACATATTATCTTATTCCGTTTATATGAAAAATCCAAAATAGGAAAATCTATGACAGAAAGTAGATTAGTGGTTGCTCAGGGTTGGGGATATGGAGGGAGTGGAGAGTGACAGCTAAGGGATATGAGGTATTCTATGAGGGTAATGAGAATGTTTTCTAATTGATTGTGGTGATTAATGTATACATCTGTGAATACATGACAAGCCATTGAGTGGGTCAATTGTGTGCTATGTGAATTATATCTTAATACACTGTAAATAAAATCGCTTTTAAAAACTGCGTTAACTTTAACCAAATGGAATATATCCCTTGATTGATAATACACCAGTTGTCTGGAAGACAGCTGGATCATAGTTGACTCATTACAGTTGTCCATTTTTTGACACTTCACTTTCTGCATGATGAATAGACATATTATAATTCCATTTCTATTTCTGTTTTCAAAATATAAGGAAGATGTTTTGCTCATTGTAAAACTTTCATTGCCGGGAGTCATATAATTGAACTTCAGCTTGTAGAGATTTAATATAAATAAATAAATAAATAAAAATTCTAGAATTTATCAAAGGATAATTTGTTTAGCTTATTTTTTCAAGGTTACATCATATGAAGAAATCATTGAATGTGCTGACCAACGGCTCAAGATATCCCGCTCCCAGATTGCACAGTAAGTTGAAAAAGTTTAACTTTTAATTTTGTAAACATTTACTGATATTTTATTTTGCTCTCTGGCTTGCTAAATTTATTTTTCCTTAGACTCTTAGAGAGAAGAAAAATGTGTAAATAAGATCACTTTTCAATAATTTAATCTTTGAATGTCCAGATTACTTGAATCACCAGATTTTCATCTTCCTCTCAGAGTTCACTTTGATTTTGGGGAAGGGAGTGAAAGGGGGTGGGTGAAGGAATTAGTGAGAAACATCCAAAATTTTTGGAGGATATTGTGATGGCATTCAAATAAAATAACCATGAAATCTTAGGATTTATTCACAAAAAGTTTTTGAATGTAAACCAAATAAGACATAAAGTACATACATATACCACGTACCAAATAAACTTTTTCATTAGAATGAGATTTAGCTTAAAACACTCCTGAATTGGTGGTGTATGTTTTTTATAATATATTTTTATTGATTTCAGAGAGGAAGGGAGAGGGAGAGAGAGGTAGAAGCATCAATGATGAGAGAGAATCATTGATTGGCTGCCTCCTGCATGCCCCACACTGGAGGTCAAGCCTGCAACCCAGGCATGTGTCCTGACTAGGAATCAAACCTGGACCTCCTGATTCATAGGTCTATGCTCAACCACTGAGCCATGCTGGCCAGGCCTGAATTGTTGTTTTTAAATTCTGCAAAGTATTTCCACTTACTTATTACCCTCATTTCTCATATGCTTTTCCTCAATCCTTCCTCTGATTTCATTTATACAGTGCTGGTTATCTCTAGAGCAGGGGTCCTCAAACTTTTTAAACAGTTCACTGTCCCTCAGACCATCGGAGGGCTGGAATATAGTTTAAAAAAAAAAAACTATGAACAAATTCCTATGCACACTGCACATATCTTATTTTGAAGTAAAATAACAAAATGGGAACAAATGCAATATTTGTATTTGCATGTGGCCCGCGGGCTGTAGTTTGAGGACCCCTGCTCTAGAGCTTAAGCATCCCCATGCCCTGGCTGGTTTGGCTCTATGGTTAGAGTGTCACCCACAAACTGAAGGGTTCTGGGTTCGATTCCTAGCCCCAGTCCAGGCACATGCAGGAGGCAACCAGTCGATGTGTCTCTCACATTGATGTGTTTTTTTAAAAAAAAATTAAATCTTCATTATTGAAAGTAATATATGTCCCTTTCCTCTGCCCATTGACCCCTTCTAACTTGCCCCTGTGGCCCCCCCCACCCGAGTCTTCACCACCCTATTGTCTGTGTCCATAGGTAATGCATATATGCATATAAGATCTTTGTCGACAACAATACAATCATAGTAGGGGACTTTAATACACCACTGACAACACTGGATAAGCCCTCTAGACAAACAATCAGCAAAGATACAGCAATCCTAAATGACTCACTAGATCAGATGGACTTAATAGACATCTTCAGAACACTTCACCCCAAAGCCAGGGAATATACATTCTACTCAAATGCTCATAAGACATATTCAAAAATAGACCATATATTGGGTCACAAGCAAAGTATCCCCAAATTCAAGAAGATTGAAATCATAAAAAGCATCTTCGCAGACCACGATGGCATAATATTAGAAATAAACTACAATAAAAACAACCCAAAATACTCAAACACCTGGAAGCTGAATAGCATGCTATTAAATATTGATTGGGTTACCAATGAAATCAAAGAAGAAATTCGAAACATCCTGGAAACTAATAACAATGAAAACACAACAATCCAAAACCTATAGGATACAATGAAAGCAGTCCTGAGAGGGAAGTTTATAGCTCTACAGGCCTATCTCAAAAAACAAGAAAAAATGGTAGTAAATCATCTAACTCTACAACTCAAAGAATTAGAAAGAGAGCAACAAGAAAACCCCAGAGTGAGCAGAAGGAAGGAGATAATAAAGATTAGAGCAGAAATAAATGACATAGAGACCAAAAAAACAATACAGAAAATCAATGAAACCAAGAGCTGGTTCTTTGAAAGGATAAACAAGATTGACAAACCTCTAGCCAGACTCACCAAGAAGCAAAGAGAGAGGACCCAAATAAACAAAATCAGAAATGATAGAGGCGAAATAACAACAGACCCCACAGTAATACAAATGATTGTTAAAAAATACTATGGACAACTCTACTCCAACAAACTAGACAACCTGGAGGAAATGGACAAATTCCTAGAAAAATACAACATTCCAAAACTCAATCAGGAAGAATCTAATAATCTCAACAGGCCAATAACTATGGAAGAAATTGAAGCAGTCATCAAAAAGCTTCCAGCAAATAAAAGCCCAGGACCAGACGGCTTCACAGGGGAGTTTTACCAAACATTCAAGGAAGAACTAAAACCTATCCTCCTCAGACTACTACAAAAAATTCAAGAGGAAGGAACACTTGCAAGCTCATTCTATGAAGCCAGCATCTCCCTAATACCAAAACCAGGTAAAGACAACACAATGAAAGAGAATTGCAGGCCAATATCCCTCATGAACATAGATGCCAAAATCCTCAACAAAATCTTAGCAAATCGGATCCAGCAGTACATCAGAAAGATCATACACCATGACCAAGTAGGATTTATCCCAGGGATGCAAGGATGGTACAATATCCGCAAATCAATAAACGTGATACATCACATAAACAAATTGAAAGAAAAAAACCACATGGTCATATCAATTGATGCAGAAAAAGCATTTGACAAAATTCAACACCCATTTTTGATAAAAACTCTCAGCAAGGTGGGAGTAGAAGGATCATACCTCAACATAATAAAAGCCATATATGACAAACCCACAGCCAACATCATACTCAATGGACAAAAACTAACACCATTTCCCCTAAGAACAGGAACAAGACAGGGATGCCCACTCTCACCACTCCTGTTCAACATAGTACTGGAAGTGTTAGCCATTGCAATTCGGCAAGAAGAAGAAATAAAAGGCATCCAAATTGGAAAAGAGGAAGTAAAACTGTCCTTATTTGCAGATGACATAATATTATACATACAAAACCCTAGAGACTCCATCAAAAAGCTACTAGACTTAATACATGAATTTGGCAATGTAGCAGGATACAAAATTAACCCCAAGAAATCTGAGGCATTTCTATACACCAATAGTGAACTTTCAGAAAGAGAGATTATAAAAACAATCCCATTTACCATCACACCAAAAAAATTAAGATACCTAGGAATAAACTTAACTAAAGAGGTAAAAGACCTCTACTCAGAAAACTACAGGACGTTGAAAAAAGATATAGAGGAAGACATAAACAGATGGAAGACATGCCGTGTTCATGGATTGGTAGAATCAACATCATTAAAATGTCCATACTACCCAAAGCAATCTATAAATTCAACGCACTTCCCATTAAAATACCAACAACATATTTCACAGACCTAGACCGAACTCTCCACAAATTCATCTGGAATAAAAAAAGACCCCGAATAGCTGCAGCAATCCTGAAAAAGACCAAAGTAGGTGGGATCTCAATACCAGATACCAAGTTGTATTACAAAGCCACTGTTCTCAAAACTGCCTGGTACTGGCACAAGAATAGGCATATAGATCAATGGAATAGAATAGAGAGCCCAGAAATTGGCCCGAACCAATATGCTCAATTAATATTTGACAAAGGAGGCAAGAACATACAATGGAGCCAAGATAGTCTCTTCAATAAATGGTGTTGGGAAAATTGGACAGATATATGCAAGAAAATGAAACTAGACCACCAACTTACACCATACACAAAAATAAACTCAAAATGGATAAAGGACTTAAATGTACGACAGGAAACCATAAAAATTCTAGAAGAATCCAAAGGCAACAAAATCTCAGACATATGCTGAAGCAATTTCTTCACTGATACAGCTCCTAGGGCACTTGAAACTAAAGAGAAAATGAACAAATGGGACTACATCAAAATAAAAAGCTTCTGCACAGCAAAAGAAACCATCAACAAAACAACGAGAAAACCCACTGTGTGGGAAAACATATTTGCCAATATCATATCTGATAAGGGCCTAATCTCCAAAATTTATAGGGAACTCATACAACTTAACAAAAGGAAGATAAACAATCCAATGAAAAAATGGGCAAAGGACCTAAATAGACACCTTTCAAAAGAGGACATTCAGAAAGCCAAGAGACATATGAAAACATGCTCAAAGTCACTAATCATCCGAGAGATGCAAATCAAAACAACAATGAGGTACCATCTCACACCTGTCAGACTGGTTATCATCAACAAATCAACAAACGACAAGTGCTGGAGAGGATGTGGAGAAAAAGGAACACTTGTGCACTGCTGGTGGGAATGCAGACTGGTGCAGCCACTATGGAAGACAGTATGGAGTTTCCTTAAGAACCTGAAAATGGAACTCCCATTTGACCCTGTGATCCCACTTCTAGGAATATATCCCAAGAAACCAGAAACACCAATCAGAAAGGATATATGCACCCCTATGTTCATAGCAGCACAATTCACCATAGCTAAGATCTGGAAACAGCCTAAGTGCCCATCAGTAGATGAACGGATTAGAAAACTGTGGTACATCTACAGGATGGAATACTATGCTGCTCTAAAAAGGAAGGAACTCTTACCATTTGCAACAGCATGGATGGAACTAGAGAGCATTATGCTAAGTGAAATAAGCCAGTCAATGAAGGAAAAATACCACATGATCTCACTCATTCATGGATAATAGAGACCATTATAAACTTTTGAACAATAATAGATACAGAGGCAGAGCTGCCTCAAACAGATTGTCAAACTGCAGCGGGAAGGCCGGGGAGGGTTGGGGGGCATGAGGTAGGGGGTAAGAGATCAACTAAAGGACTTGTATGCATGCATATAAGCATAACCAATGGACATAAGACACTGGGGGATAGGGGAGGTTAGGGGACTGTCTAGGGCGGGGGGATAAAATGGACACATATGTAATACCCTTTGTAATACTTTAAGCAATAAATTAAAAAATTATATCTTAAATTATT